AAAAAATAAATCATAACTAAATTTATGCTATTTTTAAGTTAAAATTGTTACACGAACTCTACAGTTTAAGGGATAACATTGCAGCATTGTAGCATTATAGCATTGCAGTATTTTGGTATTATGGCATTGCAGTATTGTAGTATTTATTATAGGACAAAGTAATTATAGCAAATAATATAGCATGTGCTGTAGCCATATTAATTTTTCGAATTAATTCTACTAGCAACACTGTTCTGTACATCACATATTGTTAGGTTTAATTATTATCCAAACCCAAACATGTTTATGAACTTTGAACTGAACTTAGACTAAACAAATATTTCAAGTTCAAGTTCAGTTTGGGTTTATAAATTTTAGGTTTGGTTTGGGTTTGAGTTCAAAGATCTACAAAATTTAAAGTTCAGATTTGGGTTTAACCAAACTCAAACTGAACCAAATTTCAGAACACTAGTTTATAATACTTATATTTGTGCCTTTAACCCAAATATCTTGGGTTCACCAGGCCGATTTTAATAAACTAACCACTATTAGAACCAGAAAAATTTTCTCTACAACTTTACTTAGAGTTGAAAGAAATGGTTACTTATTAAAAATATCTTTAATTTTTAAAACCTTAAACTTTAGCTTTGATTATTCTAATTTTAACTCTAAGACTAATAAGTAAATCTTTTTTTTTAACTCTAAGCAAAGTTGTAGAAGAGATTTTTATAGTTCTAATGGTGGTTAGATCAATAAAATTGGCCTGGTGGATTCCAAGATATTTAAGGTTAAAGGTGCAAATATATGTATTACAGGAATATACTATAAATATACAGTACTGATCACACCATTTATAGTAATAGAACACTGATCTAATGGTTCTAGAAATTTTTTTATATAAATCCAAGAATAATCACTAATCAATCAAATTAACTGAATAGAAAAAATTTTGTTATTATACAAACTAGAATATTCCAAATCTTATTTACTTTTTTAATAGTTTATTTACTTTTTTAACGAGAGTTAACTAGAGCGGATTATTGTGGATTATTTATTTTCTACTATTTATTAATGCTTTTATTTAGGAGTTTTAAGCAATAAATAAAATGTGTAAAAAATTTTCTAAAACTGCTGGCAAGAAGTCATACAAAGCCAATCAAATCTGTGCAGATCATTCTAGAACCAGATTTTTTAATTTTCTCTAATTTGGTATATTCCCTGATTGTATTATAAACAATAATACTTTGTGTTGTAGATCTTTATATTCATGCCTTTAACTCAAATGTCTTGGGATCCACCAAGCTAATTTTGATAGTTTAACCACCATTAGAACTAGAAAATCTTCTCTACAAGTTTACTTAGAGCTGGAAGAAATGTTTACTTATTAGTTTTAGTTTTAGGGTTAAGGTTAGAGGTTAGCGTTAGTGTTAGGGTTATGAGTTTTTATATTATTATCTAAAAATAGAAAATTTTGTATAGCCATGCATGGTGGAAATAGCAAATTACCATGGTGGAAATAGTAATTCCCTAATTTTATACTATAACAACCATGCATCTAAGGCATATGAAAAAATCACGAGAACAAATTTTTAGCTGAATCGATTTTTTTTTCTTTTTTCTTTTCGAACTGGCGTACTATAATTGTTAGAGTAAATAGAGCTATTGTTCGAGCAGCATACTTTTTGTTATAGACCATCGTTGTTATTAAAGAATAATAATTCTTTTCAATAACACATTATATATTGTTACCTCTGGCAAATTGTATATGCAATAGAAATAGACAGGCTGATGTTCTTTTATTATTTTTTTATTCGCAAAATTTTCTATGCATTTAATAAACAGAAAACCAGGATCGATAAAATCTGACTGAAATATTTATTTTAAGCTATAATAGCAATTGAGCGTTGCTATAATTATTAACCAATCACAGATCATTAGAAAATTGCATCTCGAAAGATTTTGAAAACACCCAGAGATACACAAAGACAAGTATAAAGCAAGTATGAGAATAGGATTTTCTCATTAATATCTCCGATACACGAATATTAACAATGAGCACACAATGCTCTCAACGTATTTACATCACTTAAATCACCGATAAAGTTGACCTTATAAAAAAGTCGAAACATGTTTTCTATTCCATATTTTCCCCATAAATGTTGCATGATCACGAAATTTATAACTTAAATCATGGTGATTATTCGGCTTGTCTAAATTATGTCGAACATGTTGCAGATTCATGGGGTTTTCATAAAAATAAAGAAAAATAATGGAAATATTTAGGTAAATTTCTTACAGGAAAACTGTATTCGCACTAAATCCAATTAAATTATAAAAAATAAATAATTCTGATTCTTCAGTAATAATAAAATTTTTTTTTCAGCGTTATAATTTTCAGTTTTATATAATTCATGGATAATTATATAGTATTAAACTACTTTATCAAAGAAAAAAAAAATTCTAATGTCAACTAACAATTATTATTTTTATTGTTTTTTACTTCTCATTTTAAATTGCTATATACATTTTTAAATGAGAGAGTAATAATAACATAAATCCAATGATAATCCCTTTGATGAAATTCCCAATTTAGTCCTAAATCAGAAAAACTTTTTGTCAAATGGTCCCCAATTTGTTTTTGCATACTACTTAGAATAGAACAAGCATTCAAAAACTTAACGTTAGATAAACGCTTCTTTTCATTATTGCTATGTATATAAATAACATCATAATCAATTTCTAAATCAATATTTTTTTGAAGATGATCACAACATTGAATGATCAATTCTTCAAAGGCCGAAATAAGGTTATTCACATTATTTCGAACAGTTTCTAATGCCGATGAACAAAGTATTGTCGACTTATCAAAAGGAATTTGAAAGTAATCAAGTTCTTCCTCAAGTTGTTTACGAGTAACTTGTTCGGATTTGACAGGCCAAGTAAGTTTTCCAGTTCGATAAAATTCCATTATATAATGAAATGCATCACTATTACGATCAAAAAAATATTCATTTCCATTAATTGGATGTCTCATGCATTTGTTCCGATCTTGAAACATCGTTCCAAGTAAAGTTTCTGGTCGTGATACAAGCGTTGATTGAAAGGTTTCATACTATGTAATAAATAAACATATATATACATATTTAAAGGTATTAAAAATTTTATTGCTATTCTTTATACAGTACCTTTTTGCCTCCAACATTTAAAATAATCTTCTCTACTGGTGTATTGATTGGGACTTTGGTAAATGAAATGTGGGCTCGAGTGTCCTCAGAGTTTAGCAGTTTTTTAACTGGAGAGGAAAAAGTGATATCGATCTCAAAGAATGGATTTTCAGAAGAATAATAACTATACATTCTTTGACATTTCCATTTCAGTTCCAATTCAGAAAAAGTTTCGACTAAATGCTTTTCAATCTGGTTTTCCATATTCTCCAGGATTTCAAAAGCACATTCTTTAAATTGGCTAAGGCAACAATTTACATAATTGGAATACTCGTTAACAAGTGATAATTCATTGTTACTAACTGATAAAGTGATTTTACTGTCAAAGTTTATGTATTGACTAATTATTAATTCTTCAAGGCTTGAAATGAATCGATCAATTGTACTTTTAGCAGTTTCCAATACTAATGAAGAAAATACTTTCGATCTATTAATTTGAAAATAATCGAGTTCTTCTTTAAGCTGTTGATAAGTGACTTGTGACTCTTTAGCTTCAGTGGACCATAAAAGCTTTCCGGTTCGATAAAATTCCATTATATAGTAAAAAGCTTTGCCATTACGGTCAAAAAAATATTCGTCTTCATTAACTGAATTTTTAATTTGATCTCGAAACATTGATCCAAGTAATGTCTCTGGCTGAGCAGTGAGTGTTGAGCGAAAAGTTTCATACTACATATTAAAAAAAAAACAAAATGCACGTAAATAAAATGTGTAAATAAAAAACCACCTTAAAATTTATTATTGCGCTTTATACCTTTATGCCTCCAATATTTAATGTAATTTTTTCTTCAGACATATTAAGTAGACTTTGGATATGAGTTTTTTGACATGCGATTAAAAACCTTTTTGTCTTTTTTTGTGTA